GGCAATACCTTCACCTTAAAACATTTATTTGTGTATAAACACATTATCTTTTATGATCTGCTGCTTTGCCTTTTTTTTTTAAACCAACTTCTTTTTTCTCTCCATGAACAGATTTCTACACTTCCTTTTAAATGCCTGTGCCAGAAGTTGATGCTAGGAGCTCTGGTTGTTGTTTTGTTTTGGTGGACCATAAACCATGCATTACAGAACTAATACAAAGAATTGTCATAGGTGGTCATTGCTGGTCTCTGACCAAGATACTTAACACCCAGGTGGTGGTATTTGGTTAGGTTGGGTTTTTTTTAATTGCTGTTAATGAAGTCTCTTGTATATTTAAAGCCTAAGCTAGTGCTGGGTCACTGCTGTTTCATACTTTTTTTAAAAAAAGAAAAATGTTTAATGGGGTTGTTGCTGGATAACTGCCTAAACTGCTAGCTTTGAAATACACAAGTCCAGGTGATAAGAATGTGTTGTTTGTTTTTTAATGCAACAGAAAATGACTACTTCATAAAAACAAGTTTAAAACAAATGGTGATTTTGGGAGGACAGAAGGCATGCTGGTCATCCTTTAACTTCTGCATTGTAAAACTTATAGCAAGTATTAAAATCTTAATATTTTTCAAAATTAAAAATTGTTGCTAAAATATTTCTCTGGTCTCCTCTTTTGTAAAACTTAGTATCCAAAGTCCCCTACATTTTAAGTAATACAAGGCCTTTATTATATTGCTTAATAACAGGAATGTGAAATGAGGTCTTATTTAAAATTATTAAGTAGAATGACGATTCATGGGAAAATAAACCCTTTGGACAGGGCTATCTAACCCCTACACAGCCCCCAGCCTCTTTTCAAGCTGCCACTGCCCCCACCACTCTTGTCAGTTTAGGTGACTGGAGCCATCAGGCTCCCCCTCCCTCCTCCAGGGATGGAAGCGTGCTGCATGTGGTGGGGGAAATCTGGTGTGCCCAGAAGTTGGGCAGCCCAGCTTCAAGAGCTATAGCACCTTAATGACAGTAATGAGGGTGGCCTGAACTCCACCTCTACCCTGTCAAGTCTAGCCTATTTCATTTCCAGTAGGCCTAAACGTATTTACTAACAGAGCAGCAGAAGTGGGCTATTTATTTTTTACAGCAAGCCACTTAGACCCACAGTTTCAGGGGGCAAACAAATCTGTGAATTTGGGGAACAACTTTAATGAAAACAATATTGGAAATAGTTTGGGCCATGTTTTTTATTTTTTTTAATTAGATTTGCAAGGAAGTTTGGGCACTGCTCTCTTGCATTTTCTAACTCAGTGGTTAGGACACTCTAGTTTCTCCTCTCACCGGAAAGTGCGCTACCAGACAACTCGGTGTTTTGGGCTTAGCCTCTTCCAGTCTTTCCTGGAAAAGCTGTTCCATTTTGTAGTAATAATTATATATTCATTAGCCCCTATAGCTAAGTGATCTGAACATTCTCTTAAGAAACAGCTGGTGTCTAGTCCTGTTCCAATGAATGGTTTTATCACTTAGATGAAGTAGAACAGTTCTAAAAGAGGAGACAAGATTCAGGGGTTTCCTGGTTCAAATACTCTACTGCAAGACGGGAGCATCAGGGTCAAGCTCTTGATCCAATCGGGCCAAAAGGGTGTTTTAACACAGGTCTCCCACAATCCAAATACGTGATATAATCCATGGGAAGAGAACAGGGACAGCAGCACCAGCTTTTAAACTATTTTTTAAAAAGGTTTTGTATCAAATAATAATAAAAACATCTATATTTGTTTTTTTAATTTGGTCTGCAGACCAAATTAATAATTAAATTCAACTCTGTCTCAGGTTCTAAGGAAGCCAACTCTTTCTAACGCCATGAACTGTCTGAGACAAAGTTCTTATTTCTCATTCTCAAACCCTTGCCCTATAAATGTGTCAAGGAACCATTTACTATATTCATATCTACAGTAAGTAGAGTATGCTATAAATCAAGTGAAGATACTGCCTTACCAGTTGGTGGAGGCTGAAAATCCATATTGCAAAATTCTGAAGACAATATCTTTATGCTGTTAGCTCACTTTTATAAGCACTTAAATAATCTCAGTTTAGGATCTGACACTGCTCTGTTGGATAAATTTCAATCAAAAAAGAAAATTCATTACTTCCCATTAAGTTAGCGAAGCTCACATAACTAGCCCTTACAAACAGAAAAGGATGTTTAGAGAGGAAAACATCATGGTGCCCATCTTGCCTGAAAACCACATTTAGAATGACTACATCTAGAAAAACTAAAAACATATAGTAGAAGGAAGCATGTAGAAACAAAATCTTATTAAAAGAGCTAGTGATGCAATATGAATAGAATTTATTTAACAACAGAAATTCACAAAAACAAGAATAGATATGAATTAAGGTCACAAGCATGTGATCTAAATGAGATCCAAAAAACAAAACAACCCACCCAAATAAGAAAATGGAAGTTTTAAAAAAACAAAATTATCATCACACTCTTCATTGGATTATATGCTCAAATAATTTGACCTCTTACTTGTGAATGAATACACCCAATGCCACTATAAACCTTAATCAAGACACATCCATGCTCACCCAACACAGTGTAGCACAATCTAGATTCCTTTCACTACAGTGTAACCTGGAGATAAAACACAAATGTACACTTAAACAATCCAGGGATGGTCATTTGGGCCCAAGGGCCACGTAGGGAGTTTTGATGTACTGTAGTGGGGCAAGTCAGAACCTCCCACCTCCCCAACAACTCCCTAAAACGCCTTATGGGGTTTTGGGCAGGCAGGGAGTAGTGTTCAAGAGTGGGATGGGCACAATTTGCTCCTGCACACCCAGCCCTGTTGTAGGGGAGGTAGTGTACACATGGGGGGGTGGGCTGCCTGGGCACTTTTTCCCAGGAGCTAGCCAGAGGTGAGGGGAGGAAGGGGGCACATGCAACAGAGCCCACCCAGTCTGTGGCTGCCCCCACAGTGTTGTACATGGGACCCAACCCCACTTGGGGCAGTCTACACTATGCTGCTTCATGCCTGCCAGCCTAGCCCTTGCCAGCATGCAGTTTCTGGCAGGGCTGTCCCCAGTGTGGCTGCAGCTGGCTGGATGCTGCTGCGTTGCCCTCACCTCCTGCAGGAGCCACTGGGCTGAAGCTTCCCACCCCCCACCCCACCATGTTTTATCTGCCAGGAGCCTTGGAGAGGGATAGGAGCAGAGAGAGCCTTGGAGCAGGGGCTGGAGGTGAGGGGAGCAGAGCAGCACCCAGCTGGCTGCAGCTGCATTGGAAACAGCCCTGCTGGGAGCTGCTCAGTGGCCAGGGCCCAGGCCGGCAGAACTGTTCTGCTCCTCTCACTTCTAGTGGCCGTTCCTTCTCATACCCCTGCAGAGCCACTCTGGGCTAGGGGGAACTTCAGCTGAGTGGCTCCTCCCTCCAGCCCATGGAGCTGCAGCTCCAGACTTCCTTCCACCTGCTCCCTCTCCAGCCCACAGGTGGTTGCTCATCATGCTGGGCAAGCAGAGCAGATGAAAGGCAGCTGGGAGCTGGAGCCAGAGCCCTGCACACTGGGGCAGGAGTCACCCAGGTGAAGCTCCCCCCTACTTGGAGCCGCATGGCAGGAGTTGTAGCTGCTGGAGGCAAGGGGAGCAGAACAGACCCCCCTGGCCAGTGTTGGGGGGCAGCCACAGGCTGGATCCAGTCAGTTCGTGAGCCAGATCTGGCCCGCAGGCCATATTTTGCCCACCTGAGTTAGAGGGAAGAGTGATAACCTTGAAAGCCAAGTCACAAGCAAGTGGCTCATGGAACCAGCATTCAGTTCTCTGCTCTGCTGCACATTTCCTTGTGTAACCCAATTTCCTGGAGGGTACTTTTTCACATCCTGCTTCCCCTCAATTCCATGCAAAGAAATGTACGCTGGTGTCAATGCCATTTGGTCTTTTGGTGTTTGTGAATTTGGAAGAATTTAGCTCTAAGTACCTACATACATCTGGAAGTGTGAATTAGGCAAAGATCTAAGAATCTTAATGAATCCATTATTGCTGCCTTCTTGCTTGCCACATGCTAATACTAACACACAGAAAAGATACTTGTCCTCAAGCTTAGAATTCCACAAGTGTGATGTGAAATCAGTGACTGCTAGTGCACATCTTACAGCCTGCCAAATGCAAAATACATTTTTAAAAATAATTTGTTATGTCAGCATAGGAGGTAGAAATTCAGTGCACTGATGCTTATGTTACATTTGTGAAAAACACACTGCTCAAAGAATTGATACACTTGTCTTGAGGTAACTGCAACATATGCTTAAACCAAACACTTCAGAGAAGCAAAATATTAGCTAAAACTCTGCACATTTGCTCTAATTCTTACCCCTCCTTGAATAAGCAGGAACAGTAAGAGTGCAGTGCCTTCAAAATGAGGAGTGTTTCACTACTGTGCCTTGGAACAGGTTGCAAAGTTACCTGTATTCTATTTGCCACTTAATTCTATATTTACCAATGAAGACTTCCATTATGCTTCCTCCCAAAGCAGAGTTATGTTCAAGCTTAAGCCTCCAGTAAGTTAAAAAAAAATATACTGCATACATGCTCCTTATGTTAAACGGTAACAAAATATGACTTAACAAATGCAAAAATATATGTAACTACTGAATATGAAAAAAGTTCTAAACAACAGGACGCAAAAAAGGATTCTTGTACTTCTAAACCGAGACCGCAGCACTATTTTTCTCTCTCTCTCTCTCTCATGTATGCACATTACCATACTTCTAGGAATCTGAGCCGCTGGTTGGAAAGAACCAGTTAAGACTCCTCTTTTGCTAAATTGTAAGACCGTAACATTATTCAAAATCTCAGAAACTTACCTAGCATCTCATTCACGTCCAACCTTTGCATGTTCCTGGATAACTACGCATCCTATTTTTAATACACCCTCCTTAATGAAACCACAAGTATCTGAAGAGTAATTTAAACATTAAACTGACAAGTCTACAATAGCCAAAGATAAAACAGACGGAGCCTTGCTTTGTGCTTTATTATAGTGAATGTTTACATATGCCAAAAGTGGAATTTGAACTGAGAGGTTCTGGCAGATTCAGCAGTTTCAAGCAATATAAAAAACTGTTAATAGCAATTTATTCCAATAATTAATCACTGTGGGTCAACCACCTCTTATTCATATTATGCTACTTCCCCAATAAATAAAATGCCTTATACAATTTCCTACAACTTTAACGTTCATCTTGTACCTGTTGCATAAATAAGTCAAGAATTCATTCTCTGTACATTTTGTATATGGCTTTCAGAGTCTAACTGAAGGCAGGGTAGATTTGCACCTTATAGACTAACCAACATAAAGCAAGCTGGTAACACTTCCATTAAAATACACAGAATAATTTAGGGGTAAGTACAGATATTCAGGGAGGTTGGTGGGGGGCTTAGATTGAGTTAAAAATGACCAAATGAGGGTTTGGCAGGATCAGGAGAGGCTCATGGGGTCCATAGGAGGGCTTGGGGGAATGAAAAGGGGTTCTCTCCATCCCCAGGGGCCAAGGGCTGTTTTTAGCACCCCACCCCCCACCCCCCGTCCCAGACAAATTACTGTCCCTGTAGCATTAAAATTATTCAGGAATAGAGCTTTATAAATAATTTATTTATATTTATAATGCAACCTTAAAAGTGTATTTGTAATATTTTCTACTTTATGCAACCCCAGTAGTAAGTTTTGAGTACAAAAGCAACATTAAGAAAACGTCTGCAGATACCTATTCCACTGATTAGTCATCTTTTTAAGACAGGAGAGAGTAGTGACTAAAAGTCATTACAATTGAGTGGCTTATCTAAAAGAATTCCTGATCATGGTAAACAGAGGTCCACATGAAAGAAACAGTCAAAGGCTTTCATCCTGCAAGGTCTTCCATGTAAAAAGACCTTTGTGCATACACAGAAGGGAACAGACTTTAACAACTCCACATGGGCAAAAGGGGCTGCTAGCAGGAGTGGACAAAAATCTAAGAGCAAACAGCATCTTCACACTGACAACAGGCTGAACAGCTGCACCTTTGCAGCAGTTCTTCTCTGTAAAGTGTGAGGTGTATTAAAGAAGCAATATCAGGGAAAATAATTTTGTATTAAACTCAGAGCTGTATGCTTCTGGGGATAAAACAGAGATGCCTCTAATCTCCAGGAGCTCTCTTTCAGGGGCAACCAAATCATTTAAAATTAAGCTGAAAAAGCAACAATTATATGGATTTTTCAAAATATTGTCATGCCTCCTCTACTTCCTCATCTTCTGATACTTCAATGTGTTTATAGACTCTCCAAGCCTTTAAATTGCAGTTTCTGAGCATTGCTCCTAGTTGTTTCCCAGGTCCCACTTCATATGTACAAGGAAACTTTGTTCTCTTTGTTCTTTCATATACTTCATGCATAGTCTGTTCCCATTTCACAGGTGAAACAAGCTGCTTTACTAACAAATGTTGAATGTGTTTTGAATGCATGTATTTTTTGCCATCAACGTTTGAATAGACATTTATGAGTGGTTTCCGAATCTCAACTGATTTGAGTACTTTTGCCATGGGCTCTATGGCCGATTCCATAAGTCTTGTGTGAAAAGCTCCACTGACTGGCAGCATTTTTGTACGTGCAAAATAATATTTTCGGGAGTTCTCCTCTAAAAACTTCAAGGCCTGTAAGAAAAACAGCTGTGTTCATTTGGCTCTCACCATTTAGAGAGAAAAGAAAGTTTATGCTTAGATCTGACAGATGCACTAAACCCCCGCTCATCCTTCCCATGAGGTTTGACTTAAGATACTTAGAAGAGAGCACTTGCTTCACAGTATTTCACAATTAGCCACGAACCACAAAAAACCAAATACAATATTCTGTCTGGCCCTATTGGGGAAAATGTTGTTTTTCCCCCTCCACAGAACTACTGAGTAGTTACTCACTATTAAATGTACATTTAGACATTTACTTAAAAAAAAATACCTGTAAATGACCTGCAACAACTCTGCTATCTGGAAACAGGTAATTTGCAACTTCACAAACAGGATCTTCTACACCCAATGATCTACAGTGTTCACGAGCTTCTATGCAGGCAACCTTGAAATCCGACTTGGGTTGCCCAATAATTGATAACATCCCACTTGGGACTGCTTCCGATGCCTGTTGCATTGCTTCAGCACGCACTTTCACTGCATACAAGGCTAGAGAGAGAACATAAATTCTTACTGTAGCTTAAGTCTCAAAGAAGTATGTTCAGACACAGGGAACTATATTTATTGCCCAAGTTATTAGCACCTTTTACACAAAACAACCTTAAATAAGGAAAATTGTAGAAAACCTTTCAAATATACTTGAAAGGATATTAAGGAAATCCTTAAGGATATTAAGGAAACAAATTATTATACCATAATATATATCCTCATCTTCCTTTTATAGAAATCCAATGCTGAATGCTTGATGCTATTTAAGTTAAAACACTTTAGATCTCTTATATTTGATTCAGTGGTCATATATTCTCCTAAAATCTGGTAGTCTGGAATCCTTAAAGTGCCAAAAACAAATGTGAGGAAAAAATAACAAACAGATCAAACATCATAAGCACAAAAACTTAATTTTCGCTAGTAATAATTTTCAAGAGTTCCTTACAAAATAGTCACCCTGCAATTTATTCAAATTTAACCATCTGTTTAAATACTAGACAATACTTTCTGCATTAAGCAAATTGTACAGAAAACATTTAGCAAAATATATTTCAAAGGCAAGGACAAAAAGCAGCAGGGAAAAATGCTGTCACCAAAGGAATGGCTTGCAAACTACAGTGTGTGCACTCACACGTGGAAATAAAGGAAACCGCTCTAAATCCCATTCCCATGAGGTGAGAAAAATACTCCTCGCACCTGCTTCAAAGTCTAAGGCTCCAGCAAACACCAGGGCAGCAAACTCGCCCACGCTGAACCCGGCGGCTGCAACACAGTTCTCTATCACCTGTGGAAACAAAGCAAGCACAAAGCAGCCTGTTAGAGCAACACTGAGGTGCACACACAGATGGGTGGGGGTAGGATCTACAGCCTGAATTTCTGGAAGCCCCTTTATCTTGGAGGGTGCCACTGAAACGTTTCAGGCCTGATTTCTGAGGTGGGTGACTTCACCCAGAGCCAGAGGGAAGGAATGACTGGGGACACGAGATCATAGAAAATGTGGGAATCCAGGTCACATTTAGTCCAACCCCCTGCTCAAAGCAGGGCCATCCCCAACTAGATCATCCCAGCCAAGGCTGTCTAGCTGGGTCTTAAACCCCCCCCCAAATGTAGAGTCCACAACCTCTCTGGATAACCTGTTCCAGTGTTTTACTACCCTCCTAGTGAGAAAATCCTTCCTAATATCTAACTTGCTGCAACTTGAAGCCATTGCTTCTCAATCTGTCATCTGCCACCATGGAAATCAGTCCAGCTCCATCCTCTTTCCAACCCCCACTTTAGGTAGTTGAAGGCTGCTATTAAATCCTTCCACAGTCTTTTGGTCTCCAGACTAAATCAGCCCCCTTCCCTCAACTCTGGACCAGGGGGCAGGAGATGCCCCCAACGCCCAGCCCCCCGCCCCCACGCACATCAGGCCGCTGGTGGCTGAGCTTCTCCACGGCGGCCAGGGAGGACACGAAGACAGCGGGCTGGCAGTGCACTGTGCGATCCAGCTCTGCCTGCGGCCCGTGCAGGCAGAGCGATAGCAGGTCGTAGCCTAGCACCTCGCGGGCCGCGACGAACAGGTCCCTCGCACCAGGGGAGTGCAGCAGGCCCCGGCCCATCCCCGCCCACTGGCTGCCCTGGCCCGGGAACAGCAGCACCGAGGAAGCGTCCGGGCGCCGCCCCCGCCGCGCCGCCGCCTCCGTGCCCGTGTCCTCGCCCGTCACCGAGTTCTGCAGCAAGTCGCTCAGGCTGCCCGGCGGCGGCCCCCCCCCGCCGGGCCCCCGCGACGCAGCTAGCCCGTCGCCATCCCGCCGCCGCCGCCGCCAACCAGCTGCACATGGCGGAACCGAGACCTAGGCGGACCCGCGCTGCTACGGCAATCGCCGGGACTAGGCGCCCTCACGTGGAACCCACGCTGCACTTCAGTGAAAAGGCCCCGCCCTCCGTTGCGGACACTGGAAGCGAGAGAAAGGTTCCGTCCTCCCCACGGCCCGCTAACCGGCTGCGGGAAGGTCAGGGGCCTCCTGACGTCAGGTCCGACGTCATCGGTGGCCTTCACTAGCTCCAGCAAGGGCTGCGGTTTTGCCCGGTGTACGATAATTATCGTACAAGAGAGGAAAAGGGCTCAAAAGCCAGGATTCAGGGGTGTTGGAAAATAATTCTCGTACAAGGGTTGAAATGATTGTATAACTGCAATAATTATTGTACAAGGGCTGAAATGATCGTATAAATACGGTAATTATTGTACAAGGACTGAAATCATATAAATAAGATAATTATCATACAAGGGTTTAAATCGTATAAACGCAATAATTATTGTACATGTGGCAACACTGCAGCCCTTGCTGAATCTAGTGAAGAACTTTGATGATGTAGAAGCTCATGGCAAGGGATGGATGCCCTGTTGCATGGTGCAGGACTCTTCCCATGAGAGTAAAAGAGCTCAAAAGCCAGGATTCAAGGATGTTGGTTGTAGCCGTGTTGATCTAAGGACATAGCGGATTTACCCAAAAAACCTCATCTGCCTATCTTTTATTAGACATGGGGTAAGCAACGTTTTTTGGCCGGAGTGCCGAAAAAACCACAATGTCTACCTTGGAAGGTGCTGGAATGCTGGCATGCCAGAAAAACAAAATGAGGGCAGGGGGTACATGGCAGGATGCACAACATACTAGTATAATTAATAATCATAAATGTTGCCTTTTCTTGGTAAATACCAGATTTTCAAAAAATTGTAAACCTGGTGACAGTAAATAAAACTTCAGTGTGCTGCCACTCCAGGTCTCACAGGCTGCACTCCTGGTTCTGCTGCTCTCCCCTGGGCCCTCTGGAGCACAGCGCGTGTGACCTGGAGCAGTAGCACACAGAAGGGCTGCACAGGGAAGCTGCCTGCCACTGCACGCTCCACACTGCCCTGGTCACACTTCCCGTGTGCACGGAGGCAGCATGGGCAGCATGCAGGTTGTGCCCCTCGCTGCTGCCCCCACCTGCAGGGGAAGTGTGGCCAGAGCAACAGGCAGCTTTCATGCGCCTCCCCAGTGTCCTGACCTGGAGCAGTAGCACACAGAAGGGCTGCACAGGGAAGCTGCCTGCCACTGCACGCTCCACACTGCCCTGGTCACACTTCCCGTGTGCACGGAGGCAGCATGGGCAGCATGCAGGTTGTGCCCCTCGCTGCTGCCCCCACCTGCAGGGGAAGTGTGGCCAGAGCAACAGGCAGCTTTCATGCGCCTCCCCAGTGTCCTGTTGTTGCACAAACGGCTAGTTTCGTGTCCCTGGAGGCTTTTCCAATATACCTCAAGAGAGAGTCATACACACTCAGGCTGGATCCATCTCAAGTTTATTGTTTGCAAACAGATCGACAAGGGAGCTCAAAGCTCAAATCCGTGTCGACCCCTAGCCACGCCCGAAGATACATTTTTATACCTCTCATGAACAAGATCCCATTGTGGCAATCTGTGATTTGCTACAGTTTTCTACAAAGTTTATGTGCAAAGCAGGCAGTAACTAATCTGTGTTCCCACAGGAATCAGCCTTATCGTGAACCAAGCATTGTTCGGACTGTTCTCTCCCCCTAACAGGACACCCCCCCCGTCCTGGCCCCGCAGTGGTGGGGGAGAGAGGAGAAGAAACAATTTGCATTTCTCAGCTGTGAAGCCTTTTATGTAGTGAGATTTCAGTTCTCAGCTGTGAAGTCTT